GACCCAACCATCTAACAAGGACAGCAGGCCTGTCAAGACCAGTTCCCTCCCTGCCTGGTAGAGATCCTCTTATTCTTAGGAAAGCTCAGTTGCCTAAAAATAGATCAGATCTCCTAAGGCAGTTCCTTTATTTGCTTCTCTGCAGCTATAACACTCTTGTTTCTAACCTATTTGAGAAGGCAGGCCTTTACCTGGCTTTTCCCTGGGCCTGGGCCTCGTTAGGGAGATGCTACTACTTGACCCACAACCCCAATCCTTTCTTTGAGCCACTCAGGAAGCTGACATCGGAGGATCAAAACCAGTCTGGACAGAAAAAGCATGTAAGACTCTCATCTCCAGTAAACCACCAAAATAAGTGGTAGAACACCAGCCTTGAGCAGAAAAAAAAGCTCAAGGTCAGTGCCTAAGCTCTGAGTTCAAGCACAGCACACATACACACACACGTTTTTTTTTGTGGGTTGTGGGGCTTGACCTCAGAGCCTGGGTGCTGCCTATGAGCAATTTTTGCTCAACGCTAACCCTTTATCAATTTGAGTCACAGCTACACTTTCGTTTTTTCTGATGGTTAAAAGGAGGTAAAGGTCTCACAGACTTCCTTACCCTGGCTGACTCTGAACAGAGATCTTCAAATCTCAGCCTCCTGAGTGGCTAGGATTACAGATGTGAACCACCAGTGCCTGTCAGTACTGGTATTTTAACTCAATGTCTTCTGGTAACTAAGCAAACACTGTCACCCAACTCAAACCCTCAGACTTTTTGTTTTTCAAAGTCTCATTAGCTGCCAGTCTAGCCTTGAATTCAGGATCCCCCTACTACCTCCCAATAATCTGAGATTACAGGCAGGCAACACGGTTCTTAGTGTGTTGATATCAAAAGGATGAAAGAGACTAATGAACACCAATCACAGCTGTGCATCACTCCCAAAGCCCTCCTCACCTTTTTCCTTAGGACCCGTGTCCAGGAAGAACAGCTTTTCATTGGGAGCCTCTGACAGCAAGCCACTGAGAGATGGGAGAGATACAGACGAAAAGACCACAAATTAACGTGATCTTAGAATTCAATTTCTGAGGCTCAATCACCCACCTCCTGGCCGACTGTGGAATGTTCCACAGGTTGAGACCTCACGCCTCAGCTTACAGGATTTATAACATTTACAACTTTGCTCGTAACAAATTATACAGGGAAGATTAGCATGCCCATTTTTAATTTTTTTTTTTGGTCGGTCGTGGGTCTTGAACTCTGGGCCTGGGCGCTGTCCCTCAGCTCTTCAGCTCAAGGCTGGTGCTTTACCACTTGAGCCACAGCGCCACTTCCTCTTTTCTGGTGGTTCATTGGAGATACGAGTCTGATGGACTTTCCTGGCTTTGACCCGCGATCCTTAGATCTCAGCCTCCTGAGTAGCTAGGATTACAGGCATGAGCCATCGGCGCCCGGCTTAGCTTATCAACATTTAAGTACTGGAAAATGCCTCAAAGATCTGAGGATCAAGGTTCAAAGCCAGCCCGGGCAGGAGAGACCGTGAGACTCCTATCTCCAATAAACCACCAGAAAACCAGAAGTGGCACTGTAGCTCAAGTGGTAGAACACGAGCCTTGAGCTGAAGAGCTGAGGGACAGCGCCCAGGCCCAGAGTTCAAGCCCCACGGCCGACCAAAAAAAAAAAAAAAGAAAAGAAAATGCCTCAAAGATAAGGAGGGAGCGTGGGACGTACTTATTTAAGAGGCCACTTAGTGACTCGGTGTGGAGGTATCCGCTACATATGGAAGCCTCAGTCCAGTCCTCCAGATCCCGCGCGGTGCCCGGGCCTAGAACCCACAGCTCCACTCTAGCCAGAAATCCTCCCCCCCCCCGGAAGTCCCGCCCTACGCACCCGGCCGTGCGCTCCTGCAGCCGCACGTCCTCCAGGAACTGATCGACCTCCAGGCCCAGCGGCTCCTCAGCGAGCCGCCGCCACCCCCGCTTCCGATTTCTCGGGCCTCGCCGTCGTCGCCTCAGCGCCGGGTCCACCGAAGTGGGCCGCAGCCCCAAGAAGCCGGAGTCGGCCTCGTTTTTTGAGCGCGACTGAGCATCACCGCCCTTGCTTCCCGCCGCCATCTTGTGAAAGGGAGAGCGCAGTGGCTGACGCTCCAAAATCCGGTCTGGGACGTGCGCGCGCAGCTCTCCCACACTCTTTCCTGACGTACTTCCGGTGGCGGCCATCTTAGTGAAGGGATTCTACAACGGAGCGGATGGAGAGGCTGCCATATTGGTAAAGGGTAAAATGTTTTTGTTTTTTTTTCTCCAGTCTTGGTAGCTTAGCAGATTCCCAATGACAGAAAGGAATTATAGGTTGTTGGATCACACCCTAAGTAAACATCCTTCCCAGCCTCTCAGCTTCAATTTCTAACTTAAAAAATTATTTCACCATGCTGGACGTTGGTGGCTTATACCTATAATACTAGCTACTCAGGAGGCTGAGATCTGTGGATTGCGGTTCAAAGCCAGCCTGGGCAGAAAAGTACGTGAAACTGTTGCTAGTGGAGGTGGTAGAGGAGCTGGAGAGCTGAGGGACATGCCCAGGCCCAGAGTTCAAGCCCCACGACCAACAGAAAAAAAATATATATATACATATATACACACATCCATATATCACCAGCTGTCGGTGGCTCATGCCTGTAATTCTAACTACTAAGAGGGCTGAAATCAGAGGATGAGTTCAAAGTCAGCCTAAGCAGAAATATCCTTGATACTCTTATCTCCAGTTAATCACAAAAAAAAAAAAAGCCATAAGTGGAACTGTGCCTCAAGCCTCAAGTGGTAGAGTGCCAGCCTTGAGCACAAAAACACAGGGACAGTGACCAGGCCTTGAGTTCAAGCCCCACAGACCACCAACAATAAAATTTTGTTCTGTTTGGCTAGGAATGTGGCTTAGTGGTAAGAGTGCTTGGCTAGCGTACATGAAGCCCTGGGTTTGATTCCTCAGTACCACAAAAAACAAAAAAAGCCAGAAGTAGCGCTGTGGCTTGAAGTGGTAGAGTGCTAGCCTTGAGCAAAAGAAACTCAGGGACAGTGCCCAAGCCCCAGGACTGGCAAAAAAAAAAATCTTGTTTTGCTGAAGGAAGAAAATCATAATGATCAGAAGATTGAACACAAGATGAGGTTTTTTGATTTCTGGTTTTGGTGGGTCATGGAACTTGAACTCTGGACCTGGGTACTGCCCTGAGTGATTCAGCTCAAGGCTAATGCTCTACCACTGGAGCCACAGCAGCACCACTTCCAGTTTTCTGAGTGGTTTTTTGGAGATAAGAGTCTCACAGACTTTCTGCCTGAGCTGGCTTTGAACCACAATCCTCAGTGAGATCTTAGCCTCCATAGTTGCTAGAATTACAGGCATGAGCCACCGGCACCTGGCACAAACATTTAGCAATGTTTCAATCATCCAGTCTTGGAAATCAAAACAGCTTCAGGGAGACTGCCATGGTGACTCACACCTGTAATACTAGCAGTTTAGGAGGCTGAAACCCGAGGATTCTGGTTTGAAGGCGGGCCAGGCCAAAAAGTCTGTGATTTTTTTTTTTTTGTCGGTCGTGGGGCTTGAACTCTGGGCCTGGGCACTGTCCCTCAGCTCTTCAGCTCAAAGCGAGCGCTCTACCACTTGAGCTACAGTGCCACTTCCGGTTTTCTGGTCGTTTATTGGAGATAAGAGTGTCACGGTCTCTCTTGCCCGGGCTGGCTTTGAACCGGGATCCTCAGATCTCAGCCTCCTGGTGGCGTGAGCCACCAGCGCCTGGCAAGTCTGTGATTTTTTATCTCCAGTTTAATCACCAGGAAAATCAGAAGTGGAATGGTGGCTCAAGTGGTAGAGCACCAGCCTTGGGTAAAAAGTAAAAACAGCTCAGGGACAGTACCCAGGCTCTGAATTCAAGTCCCAGTATATTCTGTCTCCTCCCCTTCCCCCCCCCCCACACACAGAGATTGAGTCTGGAAACAAGAGAACCTCATATTCAAGTTATGTTAGAAAGACTATTACGATTGCTAGAAATGCAGTTTCAGTAACATTTCCCCCTCTATTCTTGGTGGTTACTAGGACTTGAACTCAGAGTTTCACACAAATGCTCTAGCACTGAGCCATGCCCACAGCCCTTTTCCTTTTAGTTTGATTTTTCAGGTAGACTTTTAACTACCTGGGCTGGCCTCAAATCCTGATCCTCCCATCTCTGCCTCCTGAGGAGCTAGGATTACAGCTGTGAGCCACCACCCTTGGTCCCAGTCTTGGACCAGCTACTTCACTGGTGCCTCAATTTCCTAGGGTGGGTAAATGAGAGTTAACAGTAGACTACCCTGAAGATTGGAAGCTGTATGTGAAATGCTTTAGGCTGCGCTTGGCATCTGGGCGCCTCACCTCTGAGATTTTATCTCCCAAGCAAATTCATCTTCACAAATAAGGAAACTCATCTTGACAAATAAGGGAAGAGGCCCCGTGCCCTGGCCACTATCCAGAGATCTCTAACCACATAAAAACCATCCCTGACTCTTAAAGGAAAACAGCAGGGCCAGGGAAGGTGCTGTGGCTGGATCCAGGCCTACAGTGCCCCATCGCAGCCCGCAAACCTGAGCTCCAATCCCTGGCTTCAGCCACCAGCCCGCTGGGCTCCACAGCCACCACCAGGGGCCAGCAGGGAGCTGCTAGGCTGGCCAGCAGATGGCTGCCAGCTCCCCTCCTCACCCCCCCCACTCTGTTCCCAGGCCCCAAGGCATGCTGGAGGAGGCAGGAGAGAGGGAGGGACTGGGTGTCCCAGGGGATAGCAGAGAGGGGAGCCCTCCCCCTCCCCTGGAGTAACTTTTCTTCGGAAAATATGCTGCCCTGGCCCCCAGCCCAGACCTGAGTCACCCAGCCCCGTTTGCATTGAGTCACAGAGCCCAGCCCTGCGAACCCCTAGGGGCCCCCCCATTCCAAGGCCACACCCAGAGCACCCCTTCCCCCAGGGAGCAGGGGTCCACGCTGACAATCCTTAGACCCAGGGAGAAGAAAGCCTCGGCTTTATTTGCGATGTGTGGGGGTCACAGGCTTGGGTCTCCAGGTCCCCAGACATGGGTAGGAGTGGACAGTGGACCAGAAACTCTGGTGGGCACCCTGGAGGAGGCAGCTGGGTTTTTGTTGCTGTTGCCCATCTTGTTCACTGGGCCCCCAACCTGGGTCAAGCACACTTAGTAGGTAGTGAAGGCACAGAGAGGCGTGTGTGGGGGTCCCCTTAGGGAGGGAGGGGCTGTAGCACCAAGAACCCATCCCCCTTTCCCATGACATCCCTGAAAATCCGGGCTGCAGTGAAGCTCGGAGCTGTCATGTCCAGAGGGGGCCACCGTGGGAACATGTTGCGATGTGGGGGGTGGGGGGGAGGTGGCTGGTGCCGGGTCTAGAACCGGGGAAGCTGAGGAAGGAAGGGGGCAGAAATAACCCACGTGGGCTTGTGGGGTGGGGGTGACCTCTAGTGCCATGGGAGCCGGGTGCGTGGAGGGCGGGGTCCCCAGCTCTGCCTCCTCTCCCCCCAAAAACAAGGTGGGGAGAGAATGGATGGGGGGGACTGAGGAGGGACTGTCGTCCCCCGCCTTACCCCTCACACCTGAGGGTGTAATGATGGAGGAGAAAAGACAGAAATGGGGGTTGAGGGTCATTTCAACCATAGGCAGCTCGCTTATGAGGAGCGACACGGGGTCCGTGTGGGGGTCACCAGGTGAGTCGGTGCTATGTCCCTTAGTAGGGGGCCCCAGAGGGTGCAGAGGGACATCTGGTCCCCACAAAATGCTTTCAGTAGAGTTTCAAGGAGCAAGGAGGAGCCCTTCCCCCCCCCCCCAAGTCCTGACAGCTGGGCATTGCAGGCAGGCAGAGCGCGTGTGGGCCAAGGTAGGGGTTAGCAGGTGGCCGGCTGGGCCCGGGGCACCCCACAGGGCGGGTGGGGTGCCCACAGGCCCTAGGGGGGCCGGCTCACTCCGCCGAGCCCTTGTGGCGCCTCTTGGATGGCGGCACAAGGCGGCGGGGCAGGTTGGCGGGCAGCCCGTGGCCCTCGAGCTTGGCCTCGATGAGGTGGCTGGCCAGAGCAAACTCCTCGTCATCCAGCATGCCGTCGCGGTCCACGTCGCTCAGCTTCCAGATGCGCCCCAGCACCGAGTTGGGCAGCTTGGTGCCCACCATCCAGGTCTTGGCTTTGGAGCCACTCAGCTTGCCGTCGGCCGGGGCCAGGTTGTAGAAGATCTCGTCGTACTTGGACTTGTCCTTGGTCACCACCCACTCGGCCTCATCATCTGAGCCTTCCTCGCCGGCCTCCAGCGCCTCATCCGGCCCCCGCTCCACGAAGGGCCCCATGTGGGTGCCCTCGAACGCGCCGCCCTGCACACCGGCCTCCACACTCTCCAGCTCCTCCTGCCGCAGCAGCGGCATCAGCTTGGCGATGTCCTTCGTCAGCATCTCGTCCAGGGCCTCCAGCAGCTTCGGCTTCAGCGAGTGGAACTTGGTGAAGTCATGGGCCATCAGGAGCTCCTGCAGCCAGGGGACACCAGCACATCAGGGGGCCATCTCCGCGCCACCCATACCTGCTGGGTGTCCGGGAGCAAGTGGTCTCCCCTCTCTGGGTCTTGGTTTCCACCTTAGCTACCATGATCAAGGAGAGACCTGAATAAAGCATGCCTCCGGGCCTTGGTGTTCACACCTGTAATCCCAGCTACTCAGGAGGCTGGTATCTGAGGATCAAGGTTGAAAGCCAGCCCAGGGAAGGAGAGGTTTGGGGTTTTGTTGTTGTTTGGGTTTTTTTTTTTTTTCTTGCTTGTTTTTTGTAAATTATGGGGCTTGAGCTCTGGGCCTGGGTGCTGCCCTTGAACTCTCCAGCTCAAGGTTAGCACTCTACCACTTGAGCCACAGTACCACTTCCATTTTTCTTTTTCTTTCTTTCTTTTTTTTTTGCCTGTCATGGGGCCTGAACTCTGGGCCTGGGCGCTGTCCCTCAGCTCTTCAGCTCAAGGCTAGCGCTCTACCACTGGAGCCACAGCGCCACTTCCAGCTTTTTCTGTTTATGTGGTGCTGAGGAATCGAACCCAGGGCCTCATGCTTGCAAGGCAAGCTCTCTACCTACCGCTGAGCTACCTTCCCAGCCCCCACTTCCAGTTTTCTGATGGTTCATTGGAAATAGAGTCTCATGGACTTTCCTGCCTGGATTGGCTTTGAACTGTGATCCTCAGATCTCAGCCTCCTGAGTAGCTAGGATGAAAGGTGTGTGGCACCAGCGGCTGGCTTAGCCCAGGTTTTTGGCTGTTTATTTTGGAGACAGAAATCTCCAAGACTTTTCTGCCTGGGTTGGTTTCCAACCTTGGGCCTCTGGATCTCAGCCTCCTGAGCAGCTGGGATTACAGGCTGGAGACACAGTGTGGGGCTGACGTTGACATTTCTTGAGACAGGATCTTGACAGGTAGCCCAAGCTGGCCCTTAAACTTGAGACCCTCCTGCCTGGACCTCCTGAGTGCCAGGACTGCAGGTGTTCCCCACTATACCCAGATGAAGAAACTGAAGCTTTTCCTATGGTTTTTCCATCCACTCCACTATGGAAAGTCACCAAACCAGGCTCTGGTGGACCTGTTTGCAGGAAGTACTTTTCACTGTGTGTGTGTGTGTGTGTGTGTCAGGGGGGAAGCCTCAAACCTGCATTTTCTGGCAGTCAGGAAAGTCTCCAGGGGAGATATGATGCTCCAGCTGAATCTTGGCAAAGATGACGGGCAGCTTGAGGATCAGCTGCTTCTTCTTGTTCTCCTTCCCAAACACGGAGGGCATCTCTTTCTTCAGGTAGCTGATGATGTAGGCATGAACCTGCAGGAGGGAGAGGCATGGGCACCTGAGCCAGGTCCAACTGGGCAGAGCCTGGAATCTGCATTTCTAGGAAGTTGGGGGAGGGGGGAGCGCTTAAGGGGACAGCCCCACTGTGAGTATGGAGGAAGGGAGGGGCTCAGCCTGGGTTCTTGATGTCACATAGACCACGCCCCTCACCGTTAAACCATGCCCACGCTGGCTTTCGCCACACCCTCAGGTTAGGCCACGCCTCCCCCAAGCAGTTCACTCTGCATACCAGGGGCCCCTCTCCAAGCTGGAGACCCAGCTTGGGGCCCACCCACATTCCCAACTCAGCTCCATCTCCTCTGAGACCTGGCCTGGAATTCAGGGCCAGCTGCCACCTCCTCCTCCTGAGCCCTTCCCTCCACCGCCCCCACCCCCAGCTCTGTCACCCTGACCAGAAATCTGGACTTGCTATGGTTGCACCCATGGCCTGTGCAGATGGCCCTGAGCTGCTGAGCCACGCCCTCAGCCCTTTGATTTGTACTGTGTGTGTGTGTGAGAGAGAGAGAGAGAGAGAGGGAGGGAGGAAGAGAGAGAGAGAGAGTGTACTGGGGTTTAAACTCAAGGCCTGGGCACCATTGCTTACTTTGCTCAAGGCTGGTTAGTGCTCAACCACTTGAGCTTCAGCTCCACTTCTGGCTTTTTGATGCTTAATTAGAGGTAAGAGTCTGGGGCAGGGAATGTGGCTTGTAGAGTGCTTGCCTAGCATGCATGAAGCCCTGGGTTCAATTCCTCAGTACCACATACACAGAAAAAGCCAGATGTGGTGCTGTGGCTCAAGTGGTAGAGTACTAGCCTTGAGTAAAAAGAAGCCCAGGGACAGTGCCCAGACCCTGAGTTCAAGCCTCAAAAGTGGCAAAAAGAAGGAAAGGAAGGAAGGGAGGGAGAGAGAGAGAGAAAACGAAAGAAAGGAAAGAAAGAAAGAAGGAACTGTCTCTGAGCCTCTCTGTGTTCAAGGTTAGCACTCTACCACTTGAGCCACAGCACCAGTTCTGACTTTTTCTGTGTATGTGGTACTGAGGAATCGAACCCAGGGCTTCATGCATGCTGGCCAGCACTCTACCACTGAGCCACCTTCCCAGCCCTCATATTTTGTTTTGAAGACAGTTTGTCACTGACTTTCCCTCAGGTTGGCCTCAAACTCCCCAAATCCTCCTGACTCAGCCTCCTGACTAACTGGGATTACAGAGATGCACCACCACACCCGCTATGTAACACACTAGCTTGGGACTCTCAACCCTCCTAACCTCAGCTTCTAGAGTGCTGGGATTTCCACACTACTGCCCACAAGATTTACCTCCTGCAACTTTACCCTGCATCTCCTGCCCCATCTATCCTTGCCAGATTTCCTTGGCTAACCTCCAGCACGCTAACCTTTCCCCTACCCCAGGACCTTTGCCTGTACCCCTTGCTCTGCTTGGAACTCTATCCTGATCTCCCTGAAGCTGGCTACTTCATCTCCACAAAATAAATGCCCTGACTGCTACCATAGATCTAGTATTTTATATCTTCACCTTTATCTTCCTTGCAATTTACCTTAACTCATTGTTTTTATCGGCTTTTGTACTTAAGGGTCTCACCATCAGAATATGAGCCCCAGGGGGGGGCCCTGGGACCTTGTGGGTTTCCTCTGTTCCCAGCCCTGGCACAGCAGGCTCTCAGGAAACACTGGTGGGCTAAACCCCTGAACTTAGAAACCTCTGAGCTACAATCTCACTAAATGAATTATTCTGCTCTCATCCAAATGAATGCTGGCCACTCTGTACAGGAAGCTCAGTGATTACGCACGCTCATAAAAAAGAAAATAGAATCAGACTTACAGATGGGGGGGGGGCTCAGTGGCAGAGCGCTTGCCTAGCACGTGCAAAGGTCCTGGGTTCCCTCCCCCAGCCCTGAAAATGACTGGAAGGCTTTGGATGTGCTGGGCAAGAAATGTAGGATCCAGCCCTGGCCCCCACTCCCCAAGAAAGAACTTGTTTGGAAAGAAGTACGTGAGAAAGTACTTAGAGAGTTTTAGCACAGAATCTGAGGGCTAGAGAGGTGGGGAAGGAGGAAGCACCTTTGACAGAGCATGAATGCTTTCCCTTGAGATCCTCTTAAGAGTTCAATCAAAACAGCTGTTAAAGATATTTTTGAAAGCATCATAGGTTTAGAATGTTAAACATGTTGGCAGCCCCGGCTCATTCTGAATCACCTCCTCCACCCTCCGCCTGCCACACGGGGCTTCTGTTCCAACAAGCAGGTTCCTGGTGGCCCGAGGGCCTTGGTGCATTGTTCTCTGCCTGGACACCCTGACACTAGAACCCCCCCCCACACCCCGCCTCAGTTCACCCATTCCCTGCCCCCTGCTCGTAAAACAGTCCCTCACTGAGCTCCCTTTGGATTGGGTCATTTTTAAATGTCTCATTTCCCAGTAAAATATTATTTTAGAGAAAAGCGATGTTTCTTGGCTGTAGCGCCTGGGGCCTGGCCAGGTATTATAGGTTCTGTCTGGAGTTCAGGGGCACTTGGACCCCTTTAGAATCAGACCCACCTGAAAGTTTGGCAGCAAATACCACAAAACCCTAGAATCCTTAGCTGGGTACTGGTGGCTCATGCCTGTAATCTTAGCTACTCAGGAGGCTGAGATCTGAGGATCACAGTTCAAAGCCAGCCCAGGCAGGAAGTCTGTGAGACTCTTATCTCCAATAAAACACCAGAAAACCGGAAGTGGTGCTGTGGCTCAAGTGGTAGAGCACTAGGCTTGAGCTGAAGAGCTGAGGGACAGGGCCCAGGCCCAGAGTTCAAGTCCCACGACTGATGAAAGAGAGAGAGAGACACAGAAAGAATCCTAGAAGCCTTCATTTAACGACCTCCACCACTGAGCAAAGCCAGTGGAGTCAGTCACACCTTGCCCTGCATGGGTGGGAAAACTGAGGCACGAAGTTAGGTCATCACCCAGTCCCGTTGCAAAGCATGGAGGATGGTAAAGGGTTAGGGACCAACTAAGTGTGGCTAAATCCTCAGTGCGGGGTGTGTTGGGTAAGTTTGGTCACAGCTGACCCTGAATTCTGCCCTCCGAGTCTTGATTGCTCTGAGGGACGGGGGG